CTGTGCTGGGGCTGGGGGCTGCGGCGCCAGGCGAATGCGAGCTCACCCGCCTGCTCCAGGACAAGCTGCAGTATGAGATGCGCCTGCAGTACATGGTAACCCCAAATTTTGGGGACCAGGGACACGTGTGGCATTGCAGAGCCCAGTTTGCTTGGGGTGGGGTGGGAGGAGCGCAGCTTGGTGGGAACTGGGGGATTATTTTTTTTTATTTACTGGTGGCAGCTTGTGCCAAATGATGCCCAGGGCTGCTTCTGCTGGTGGCTGAGCACAGCAAAGGGCTCTTCCAGCGAATCACTGGTGTCACGCTGGAGCTGGCAGGGGTGTCTCACTGGCAGAGATGTCCCTGTCACTTTGCTGCCAGCCCCTGCGCTCTTCTCTGCTATTCCAGAAGCACAACTTCCCCATCGACTACACCGTCCAGGTCCAGTATGAAGAGGTGTTGAGGCCGTCCAACATCACCCGCTTGGTAAGACGGCAGCAGGGGACAGCCTCATGATGGGGACACCTCGGGGACCCGTGAGGGTCTCACCAGGGGTACCCTCTGTCCTCAGCGCAACGGGACGGTGTCGGAGGCAGCGCTGCGGTACCTCTGGTTCCACATCAGCTCGCAGGCAGTGCTGCGGATCCGTGAGGTGCTGCCAGAGAAGCACCCGTCCTGGAAGTACACCCAGGAGCTGTGCCAGCTCTTCGATGCCCTGGGCAAGGAGTACAGCAAGTACCGGCAGGGGGGGAGACCCTGCCTGCCCTCCCCCCTTGGCACCCCAAGCGGGCATGCATTCACACGGCACAGGCGTGGATGTGGGGGTGCGTGGGTGCTACATGGACCCACGCGGGGCGCAGGCATGCTGTGAGGAGTGTGAGCACCCACGGGCAGGCACAGCCTCCTGCATGTGAGTCTCCTGGGCAGGCTGCTGGGGGCCACGAGTTCTGTAGCACCTCTGAGAAGAGAGTGAGCTTTGGTTGGTGTTCTCATCAGTGTTAACTCTGAAGGCTAATGACAACCCGACTTGCAGGAGGGGGTGTCTGAGGCAGCAGGAAGAAGCGCTCCCATGGCTGCAGCCCTGTTATGGGAGCTGTCAGTTGGGGTCCTCTCTCTGCAGGGGTTCACAGCTGGCAGTGCATGTCCCTGCTCCTTCCCCCCACTGCGTCTGGGGACATGGGGCAGGGCTGTGGGGTGCCCCACATCTGGCATTGGTGGTTCAGTGGTAGAATTCTCGCCTGCCACGCGGGAGGCCCGGGTTCGATTCCCGGCCAATGCAGAGCTCCTTTTTCTTGCCTGCAACTCACACTTTGGGAACGGGACTCTCACCACCATCATTAAGGGGTGGCAGTGCCACGGCTGGAGGGGGCAATCCCACGGAAGGTGGCCCCTACATTCAGCCCTGTTTTCCCCGTGGCAGTACCTTTCTGCAGTGGTGGCAGAAGCCCTGCTTCTCTTCCCAGGCCTCTGCCACCTTGGTGGAGCTGCTGCACCCCGGAGGCAGCTGCATCTGGGTGCCATATGGGGGTGACCTGTCACAGTTGGGTCTTCAGGGTGAACCCAAAGTGCGGCTGGGTTGTCCTGTGCTGTGGGACAGGTTCTGCAGCCCCTCTGAGAAGGGCATAAGCTTTGCTGTGTCTTCTCATCAGAGCGTTAACTCTGAAGGCTAATGACAACCCCGCCTTGCTGGAGGTGATGTCTGAGGCTGCAGGAAGAGGCTCTCCCATGGCTGCAGCCCCGTCATCAGAGCTGTCAATTGGGGTCCCTTTTCTGTGGGGGTTCACAGCCGGCAGTGCCTGTCCCTGCTCCTCCTGCCCTCCTGGGTTTGGGGCCGGGGAACAGGTCTGTGGGGTTCTCCACATCTGGCATTGGTGGTTCAGTGGTAGAATTCTCGCCTGCCACGCGGGAGGCCCGGGTTCGATTCCCGGCCAATGCAGCTGAGCTTTTTGGGCCCGGATGGGGGCCCTGGGGGCTGCCGACAGGAGCCTTGGGTGGAAGTGCCACCTGGCTTACAGTGGCAGTGAGTGTCATTGGCTTGGTAGCAGTAAGGGTCCTTGGTGTGGTGGCAGTGAGGGTTCCAGGACAGCGAGGGCTGCTTGAGACTAGGCTGTGCTGCTGCATTTGGGTGCTGGGTGGGGAGTGCTCTGTCACTGCTGAGTCTCCTGGGTGAACACAGAGTGTGGCTGCGTTGTTCTTTTGATGTGGGGAAGTTCTGTAGCCCCTCTGAGAAGAGAGTGAGCTTTGGTCGATCTTCTCATCAGAGTGTTAACTCTGAAGGCTAATGACAACCGCCTTTGCAAGAGTTGATGTCTGAGGCAGCAGGAAGAAGCTCTCCCATGGCTGCAGCCCCATCATCAGAACTGCCAGTTGGGGTTCTCTCTCTGGGGTGTTCACAGCCAGTGCTTGTCCCTTCTGCTCCTTTCCCCCCCACACTGAATTTGGGGCCATGGGACAGGGCTGTGGGGTGCCCCACATCTGGCATTGGTGGTTCAGTGGTAGAATTCTCGCCTGCCACGCGGGAGGCCCGGGA